ATATATATATAAATATATAAATATATATATATATATATATATTTATATCTATATATGTATATATATACTATATGTGTATATATATATATATACATATATACATATATACATATATATATACATATAGATATACATATATACATTTATATATATATATATATATATATATATTTATATATGTATATGTGTATATATATATATATATATATGTATATATGTATATATATATATATATGTATATATGTATATATATATATATATACATATAGTATATGTATACATATATAGATTTAAATATATATATATATATTATATATATATATATATAATATATATATATATTTATATCTATATATGTATATATATACTATATGTATATATATATATATATATATATATAAACCTTGACAGGAATGGCAGGTGATCTCATTTTATGCCTATAATCCCAATCTATGACCACAGCTTCTTAGATGTTTGATAACGTTATCAAACATCTGAAGTGGTGTGTTAAGTTGCTGCAACAAAATATTAAATGTGTGGTATACAGGTATTTATAAATTTATTATTGAATATTGGCCACTACTATTAGCTGAAGCTTTTTAGGTCATTTAAATAATATTTACAGGTTTCCCAAGCATGAGTTTATTACATTATTCAATCAATTATTATAGACAGAGGTCTTATAATAATTTATCTGGCAATATTAGAAAGCTCTGCATCAGTTGAATTTAGATTATATAACATATCACTTTTTCTACTGCGTTAATATGTTAATAGATAGGGTTTCACAAACAAACAAAGAAAAAATCAAACAAACAAAAAAAAACATTCAAAATTTTAAACATCAGCTTCTAACTACCACTATAGTAGTAAAAAATGTTATATTTAATAACACTATAGTGTCATCACTATAGTGATGTTCTATTTGTAAATATTATTAATACCTTTATGAAGTAAAATTTAAACCATTTTAAATAATTTAATTAAAATTTTTTTTTTTCAATACTCATTACTCTATGAAGTTTCAAATGATTTATTTAATAAAGAATGTATTTTAAATGTCACATGGTAAAAAATTTAGTATACAAAAAAAATCTAACTTGTTTGAACAAAATTGTTATTTTTAATTTTTGTTTAAGTCTGTAAACATTCAAATAGGTCATCCCAACTTATTAATTTATAGATGGAACAGTTTCTGTATATTTAGTCCCATGGTCAGCTAAAAACTTTATACTTATAATTATAAATACAAAGTTTTAACATTCTAAAACATACATAATTTTAACATTAAAAAACATTGGCTAAAAGTTGGCTCAACGAAATAAATTTGCCAAAATTGAGCTAATGTAAGCTTGCTATCTGGGGTAGTATTTACAGGCATTTTAACTTTTTGAAGCCTAGAGTTTTCTTAAACCTTCTGGAACTTTCTAGAATTTTCTGAAATGATCTGTATGTTTTTAGAAATCCCTGAAACTTTCTATAATTTTCTGGAGTCTGTATTTGTATTTTTTACCTCTTGAAAAGTTTATGGAAAATAACAAGATTTAGACTATATAAGCTGCCTGATTGAGCAACTCTAATAACTCTGTTCCACTAAAAGAACAATCATTGGAAGATAACAGCAGGATACCACTCAAAATCCAATTTGTTGGTCGCCATCTGTTCCTGGGAGAATCCATCTAAGGGAGACAAGAACGCATAAAGCAAATTGAAAAAAAAGTGAAAAGTTTATGGCTAAATAAATTAAATTTTTCACATTTGTCAATTCAAATCATACAGACAAAACTGGATCAAGTGCTGAAGACAAACAATAAATGTGTAAAATAAAGAAAATATGATTCATGGTTAATGGCTCTGTAGTGAGGATAAAAAATTGTATTATTCTCAGATTAAAAGCAAAGGACAGATTGGGTATACAACTGGAAATGCTGCTAGGTCAAAACCTATCCCCTCATTTAAAAGAAGATAAATGTCCTTGCAGCCTCCTTCAACAACAGTTATACCAGCAGCAACAACACCAGTATCCAAACCTGAGTCTGAGGCAGAATATCAAGAACTTACTAGAGCAAAACCAAAACTGCAATTAAATTAACAATATCTTCAATGTTATCAACCAGCAAAGCAGCAACTATTTGTCAACAGTTATCTAAAGATGGTATTGAAATTTAGACACCTTCACTGTCTGGTATATTCAGATCTACTACTAAAATGCTGTTAAATTTAAAGAAGAAATGAAGAAAACACAGCATTTAGAAAGCTGGTCACTGCACTTTGATGGTAAATATATTAGTCACCAAGAATATTGTTAGTGTTACAAGCACTAGATCTACCAGATGGAAAAACAAATACTGTTGTTAAATATATACAGCAGCTATTCTCGATGAATAAAATTTATGCAAATAAAAGAAAAAGGAATGGGATTGTCAGTCAGTTACAAAGACGTTTTACTGACAAGAAACTAAAAGAACCACAATTCATTGATTGTCTAAATCATGTTCTCGACCAAGTCGTTTGCATAGTAATGGATGAAAAATTTAGAAGAAACAACATGTCATCCAATATTGAATATCTGTTTATCCCAGAATTTGTAAAGAACTACAAACAGCTCAGGAAGAATTTCAAGAATGGTAAAAAAGTGATTACTGAAACAGCAGGGCCATCCCTGCTGTGATGATATAAAATTTCATTTAATTTGAGTATTCTGCTTTTTTGAAGAATCTTGAATATTTCCTTAAGTGAAGTTTCAGAAAATACCTAAATTAAATAATGCACAGTGGGATACCCTAGATTTTTTGGCATTTATTCTTCAATCAGAGAGAAGAGAATCACTACTCAAATTTGTAGATTCATCTCCTGTAGATAAGCAGACCATTGGTTTACTGACCGAATGTACAATGCAGATGCTTATCGGAAACTATGTAGCAGATTGCATGGTCACAAAAAAGCGTTAAATTCAGTGAAAAAGTTTTGGAAACAGGAGCTATCAAGACTCGAAATTTCCAGAACAAATTGTGCAACAAATTGTGCAACAAATTAGTGTGCAAAACGAGCAATCATGCGTCTTCAAGATCTTTTTGATATCTTTAAAAAGAAAGAGAACCTCCAGCTTAGATTTATTTTGTCTTACAAAACATAAGAATTGTATATTATGCTTTAAATAAGTTAAATACTACACAACATTTTTTCGATTTCTATAATAGCTTTTCATACTTGTAGTATTGTTATTTAAGTTTGTAATTTTATATTTATTTTTAATTTAGAGTGTTATGAGGTAACCTAAAAACTGCATGATAACTCTCAAATTAAGAGATTTGAAAAATTATGATCATAAAATTTTTTTAAATTTTATCCATATGCATTTATGGTAAATTCAAAATTTTGAATTTAAATTTGAAAATCATAACCCTATGATATGAATGTAGGGTTTTTCGGTTCCGGGTACTCGGACTTGGCGAGTCTGTGGCTAAATACCAGGACCTGATACCCTGTCTAAGATTCAGGGAGTCTCATGATTTGAATTCCTGGCCTTGTTTTGTATGCAGCAGTCTGTTTTGTGAATCCCCGACTTTTCTAGGCAGCTGTATCTGATGCATGCTTAGATAGGGTAGTGATAGATAGTGTTTATACTATTATTAGGGAGGCTCATGGTCAAAAAATTTAATTAAGTTGACCATTGGGTCAAAATTGTCAATTAAGAAATTGTTGGGTAAAGGTAATCCGGAAAGAGACATATAATCAAAATATAAATTATATTATTCACTAATGTATTTTAAAACAATTTTCATTGTTTTTTCAATCATTATTGAAGAAGCTTTTCAAGGTATTAGAGGTGTGCACTTAATAGAAAATGTTAATATTGAACATGAGTTAACAAAACACTAAAGCCTATTAAACTAACTGTTAATGCTCTTAGCATAAACGATGTTAATCTTGCAACAATCCATTTAGCAATTGATTTTATGTTAAGAAAGTGAAAAGAATCTAATGATAATTTAAGTAGAGAGCTATTAATGGCAAAAAAACTCGAATAAATTGCCATTAAAACCAAGATTTAGAAGGGCTATAAGATTCTCTTGTAAATGGTACTATGCCAAAGAAAATACAAAAACTTACAGATTTATTGAAGAAATTATTCGATAGAAATGAAGAACCGTAAAATACACATTATGAACAGGGACATTCGACTGAATTACTGCATTAGCATCAACACTGGAAGAAAAACTAAATAAATTATTTTATATTAAACACTTTTAAGTATTTTAGTTTATATTATATATTTTTTTAAAGTACTGTCAAGTTTATTTGGTAGTTTAACATAAGTATAGTTATATATTAATATATTTAAGTTAGGCTTTGAAACCGGCTAAAAGATGTTTTATTTACCAAAAAATTTACCAAACCAAATTTTTTTCAATCGGAGGGAATACAAAAAATCCAATCATTTTATTGTTAAAGTTGCAAAGTAAAAAGACATATTAGATCCGGACCCGAATCCGAACCCGATAAATATTCATAGGCTCGACTCGGACTTGTCAGGTCCAAAAAAGCCAGGTTTTCCCAAACCCTATATATATGTACATTGTTTTTGTATATATATATATATATATATATATATATATATATATATATATATATATATATATATATATATATATATATATATATATATATATATATATATATATATTTGATTTTTAATTGAGATTTAGTTTTGAAATATGAAGTTTTAAGTTTTGGAGCCCATTGCGTTCCATTGTGTTATCTAAACCATAATTTAATGACTGGAATTTTTTTTCAATATTATATACTCCTGAACTTGTTCTGATTTTTTCAACTATAGTCAATAAGAATGATTTTCGAAACCTTAGAGGGTGTTTAAAGTCTTTAGTTCTGGGACTTAATATCTTTGATTCCTGTTTTATTATTATTTTTTTTTTTTTAATTTTTCTTGTTTTTTCTTTTTTAATTTAGTTAAAAATGATTTCTATTTTTTAAATTAGGTATATTAAATATAAAAGATTGTGGCACAAGCAATTTTGACGAACGTCTTTTAAATATCAAAGAATTTGTGCAGGTTTTTGTTTACTTATCATTTATAAATTTAAGTTTCAAGTTAGAAGCTTTTAGCTTCAAATATATAAAATTTATCTTTTTAAATATTTTAAATAGATGCAAGAACCACATAGAATTTAGTATGCTGTTTTATACTTATCATGTTATATATATATACAAAGAACAATGTATCATGTTATACATATACAAAGAACAATGTATCATGTTATATATATATATATATATATATATATATATTATATATATATATATATATATATATATATATATATATATATATATATATTATATATATATATATATACATATATATACATATATATATTAATGAAGAAAAAAAACTTTAAGTTTCATGCCTTTTCAGCAATCATCAGCCATTGAATATATATATATATATATATATATATATATATATATATATATATATTCAATAGCCTCCCAAGGCTGAGAAGGCCACTTCAGACGAGGAGGCTACTTAATTGTGGTTATAACCCTCTCTCAACTCTATAACTCCGAAACACAAACCTTGATGAACAAGGCCGCTTCGCGGAGAAACAAGTTGAGCGCGGTGCTACCAGGGACGTGGTGGGGATCAAACTCGGAACCTCTCTCTCTCTCTCTCTCTCTCTCTCTCTCTCTCTCTCTATATATATATATATAATATATATATAATATATATATATATATATATATATTATAGATATATATTTATATATATATATATATATATATATATATATATATATATATATATATATATATTATATATATATATATATATATATATATATATATATATATATATATATATATATATATATATATATATATATATATATATATAAAGAACAATGTATCATGTTATATATATATACAAAGAACAATGCATCATGTTATATATATAGGAATGCAACAAAAATTTTTGCTACCAATATTCAATGCATACAAAACTTTTGCTACCAAAAATATTTGATAACAATTTTATGAAGTTTTATTGTTTTTAATAAGTGTTTTATATAGTAATTTATAATAATTTTTACAAAAATATTCAGTAGTCGACAACATTTATTATATTTCCATATGAACTCTCAATTCTGATCTGAAAGACATCTGGTTGTAAAAAATTGATTAAACTTGTCCATTATATCATTTAAATAAGAAAATAATATTATAGATGCCTGTGAATTCCATTCAAAAAACATAAATGTTGAACCAAAGGAGTTAAACTTCAATAACAATCTTCTCAAGTTTAAAAAAATTACATGTATATATTGATGAGGGCATATCATTTATCAAGTACATAAACATCAAATGTATATTTTCGCTGGCATTTTGTGTATATCCTTGTGGCTTCTGTTCTTTTGTAAATTTTTAAAATTTTTTGCATGTATATTTTGTTGATTGCTTGAGCAAGTGGTTGCTTATTAGGAGTCAAAAAAAGAAAGGAAAAATATATTTAAAAAAACATGTTTTTAATACAATGACAGTAATGTGCTGAATCCACAATTCTAAATTTTCATTGAAATGTATGAACTTCTCTTTTAGAAATTACTACTAATAAATGTACAAATCCAACAGATAAACAAATATACAAATCCAACAAATAAACAAATGTACAAATCAACAAAATCACAAATCCACAAAAAGGAGTGCGTGATATATGTTTTTTTTTAAAAAAATACAAAAGTATTACCCCGTTAACTTGGTATAAAATTTGTTCATTTTTATTGTTTTCTTTTACTTCAGCATATTCTACGAATAGCCAGTCTAAAACAGCTGCCCACCTAAATAGTCTTGTGCAGGTTTTCTTTATTCCAGGGATAGTGAAAATATTTGTTTTTTTAGCAATAAAAAGGCAGAAAAACAGGCTTGCATTAACCCTTCGTCGGGCGCAATATTAAAACGCGTGAAATCAGGCGCAATGTGCGTATTAGACACAGAGTTTTAAAGTGTTGTTTTTAACAACCCATAATATAATAAACCATCCAAAAGTAATTATTAACCTTTAGAGGGATGTTTATAAATAGAATTTTAAATGTTTTATAAAAAAAAGACAACCTTCTTACGTCCATTTCTAAAGTACACGGACACGTCTATGTTTTTTAGAAGTTGGAGGAGATTGTGATTTTTCTTGATCAATTCTTGGACGGAATCTTTGCATCCTAATATGTAGACTATTAGGTATTCCAACTGTGTTCATGCTTCTTCTCTGTAGGTGTTAATACCAATTCATGTGACAACTCTTTTAGAAATAACCTTATCCTTTTTTTTTCAAGAATCACTTGGTTTGTTGCTAAAACAAAAAGGGCTTTGTGGTTGTTGCCCAGCATAAATTTCCATTTTGACAGTATAAAACATTGCATCAACTAGACTATAAAGTTTTATACCGTATTTGTTTGGTTTTGAGGGTATGTATTGCCGAAACTGACATCTACCACGAAATCCCTGAAGCATTTCATCAATAGTAAGATTTTCCCCTGGACTAAAACTTTTCTGACAATTATCAACAAATTTTTCAAAAATTATTCGAACTGGAGCAAGGCGGTCGTTTTCTTTTCTTTGGTTTCAAGATCATCAAAACGAAGACAACAAATAAGTGTATTAAACTGTTTGAGACTCATAACAAGACTGAATTTTTCAATTCCATCACCTTCTTTCCCCCAAAGATCTTCCAAACTCATTCGATTTGCTCTATATACTCCTGCTAAATACAATAGTCCGATGAATGCTTTTACCTCAATTGTGTCAGTGGATTTAATATCTCTCTGTCGCACAAACCGATCTTTTACAGAGTCAGTATAAATATTTGTGTATGTGACAATCAGTTCAATTATATTGTCCGTAAAAAAGTTATTCCAACATTCGTATAGAATTTTTGCATTTTTTGCATTTCTTATAACTCCTGGAATATGAATGCAAATGTTGTGTGACTTTCGACGTCAACTTTTTTTTAGTGGTTTATTTAGCCACTCTGTTTTTTTATCTTTGCCCATAAAAGAGTTTTCTTCTTCTTTGTCATTTTCTTCTATTTTGTTTTCAGATTGCTCAGTTTCTGAATTAAGAATGCATTGCTCAACTTCATCTTCAGAGTCAATATCACTTTCTTCTGCAAAATTGTCTATTTCTGTGGGTTCGTCTTCAACTTCTTCCTCAAGTAACGTCCTTAGTTCATCAAATTGAGACACCAATTTTTCTTTAAAAAATAAATTATGACATAATTAGGCGCAATGTGCATGTTAGGCCATTTGAAGATTTTCTATTTATTTTTATCAAATACGCAGAGTTAGTTTAATATTACTAGTCTAAAATGAGCAAATTAAACAATTCTGAAAAAAAAAATTTAAAAATACAACTTAAATAAAATGACTTAATTGGGCACAATGAGCCTATCAGAACACACAGGTCAATTAATACTTTTTTTGTTATCGGAAAAGTAATTTAGTAATAGAGTTTTGAAAGTCTTATAAAAACAGGAAATTACTAGAAAGTTCTAGAGTTAAATGTGCTCTGTTGTGGAGAAATTTACAAATGAATGAAGCATGTGCTTGTTAGATCAGTTGCGCCCGACGGAGGCTTAAAAAAAATTTATTTATTTCATCCTAACCTTTTTTTTAAATAAATTTTTATATTACTATTTTTGTATTTGTTTAACAATTTAGTTAATAATTAAATATAATTTAATTTTTAATATAATATTAATCTAATATATATTTACCCAGGTAAATACCTTACTGATTCCCTGATTCCCTGATAGTGTAATGCTGATGTAATGCTGATGTAACACTTACATATTAATCATTTGGAAGTTATTTTATTTTAAAGCGCATTAATTACTTTAAAAATATCATGTTTTAAAACAAATTCATTTTATTTAAACTTTTTTAGCTCATTTAATTACAATATTTTGCGGTGCAGTAGTTAATCAAATCTTTTGGAATCCTTTTTCATTATTTTTTTTTAATATCTTCTATTAATTAACTAATTGTTGCTAATATATTATTAATAACAAATGTTATTATAATAAAAGACATGGCAGTTAATAAATAGCTTATTCAGTTAATAAATAACTTAAATGCGCGTAACATGTCTTGCTTTTAAAGAAAGGCGTTATCGTTATCTCTTAATAAAGTTTATAAAGAAATTATATAATGAAATTTTTTGACTTAAAATTTTTTTATTTTTTTTGCATTTGTTTTCAGTCATTTAAATTTTTAATTTTAATTCTTTTTTACTTATGAACACTCATTAAGTATGCATAATACATATAAGATTTATTTGCTTTCACCGGCTTCACTTCTCAAAATAAATATCATTTACAAGTGTAGTGCCACAAGCGCCATAAATTTTCTAGTTAAATATAATAATAAAAATATGTTATGTTAAACTCAATAGTTTTATAAAACATCATTATAAAAATACTGTTATACAATATATCATCATTTTATAAAAACAATTGATATATATATTATAAAAACAATTGATATATATATAGACTTATATATTAGTAGAAAATCACTTAGCAAAATTTTTTCTCATTTTGCTAAGTGATTTTCTACTAATTTGTAATTGCTCTGTTCTTTTAAGAACATTGAGCACTCTTTTTGTAGAATACATTTTAAATTGTTTAAATATATATATAGACTTATTTATATTATTGTAAAAGTTCATTGGTTTCTCTTCTTCATATAGAAATGTCATTGAATATAAAAATTTTGACAATTGCATTGTAATGACAAGTAGTAGAGGTTTTGTTTAAAAAGACTGGTAACTAAACAAACTTTTGACCACATTTTTCAAAGTAAAGTTAAAAATCTTTTCTAGAATTTTAGATAATTTGGATTTTAAAAACACATTTAATTGAAAAAGAAATTTGGACTTTTATGTTGAATTTTAATTTTTTCTATAGTTTTAAGCTTCAAGATTTTTTATTATTTTAAATAATTTGCTCTTGAGATTTTTTGCATGATGGAACAAAATTGTAGAAAAAATAATTGTTCCCACTGCAGATCGCGTGTTTAGGTGTTGGATTTTTAGGTATAACTTGAAAAATCTGAGAATTTGAACCCAAATAACCTTAATGTCTGGGTAACTTGGGACAGTAACATTTAAAAAAAAAATCAAGTTCTGAATGCTTAGTTCCTAATCAATACATTAAGTTATATGTATAAAATGTATAAATACAAAATTAGTTAGAGTGTATTGTTTTTAAAAATTTTTGTTTTTTCAAAAAATCTTGAAGAAAAGGTTTTAGCGGCTATTCTAGCGGCTAAAACTTGTTTTTATGAAGTATGTTTTTCCTTGTTATTTTGTTATGGTCTCAAAGTTACATTTAATTCGGACCGTAGAGAAAACTTTATTTTTTGGAAATTTCGATTTTGATATGGTCTCAAAGTTTCTTTTAGTTCGGACCGTAGAGAAAACTTTACTTTTCGGAAATTTCGATTTAGATATGGTCTCAAAGTTTCATTTAGTTCGGACCGTAGAGAAAACTTCATTTCTTAAAAAAAATTTTTCCCGCTTTCTACATCGTTTTTATATCACGATTTATATCATTGTTATATTACCCACAACTAATTTTTTAACCACTCATTTGGCTTCAAATTATCTGGTTTTATTACAATATTTATTTAGTCTTATTGCTATATTTATTAATATATTACTTATCTCCTGATTTTCATATTATTACTGTTTACAGAAACTTTCATGTTATATTATCTTGCATTCATTACTCAGCTTTATTTTAATTTTCACATGCACAATTTTCATCTTTATTATTATTCAGAGAATATTTTTATATCTTTCATTTAATGTTTACATATATGTCGCTTACATTTTAAGGTTTTTGTGCAACGTTCTTTTTCGCTATCATATATTATTCTATTATTATTATGATTTTGGGTTTCGCGGGTTACTCATTTTCCTACACTTTTGATTGGTTATCATATTTCGAATGAGGTATCTATGACAGCGTTAGAGTTTATTTAAGGGTATTGTTTTGTTTATTAAAAAAAATTTTTAAGGAGGTATACTGCTTTCTGATTATCTTGGGCTTGTTTATGCTAATAATACCTATTTGGTTTTATTTCTTAAAATAAATTGATTAATATTTTTATGTTTCTATTAGAATTTTAATTTATTTTGTTTTCATGTTTTTTTTTGGTGGTACGGTAAGTGTTTTATTTAGTTATTTTTATTTTTGTTTGTTCAGTAAATCTATACTTTTTATTTCATATCATCAAGAAAAATATTGGTGCTTCTCAAATTTGGGGTTGGTTGGGTTTTGGCTATTTGTAGTGAGTCCTTTTTTACTGCAGTATGGAATAGGCGTAAGTCGCGGGGTAATGCATAAGTGGCGATGACGTTTGTCTGACGGGATAAACTAGTTATAAATGCTGATCCTCATCGAAACGCCAGTAATAATAGACACGACTCTGAGGAGATGTTTATTACTTATCACTACACTAATTATGTTTACACATTAGCATTAATGTTTTTTTTTTCCATTATTAGTCCTTTCATTGTTGTTAGCATATTTTTAATTTGTTGAATGGTTTTTTGTTTTACAAATTGTTTACTGGTTATGTATTTCTTGTATATTTTAGTTCATATTGGTATTTATAAAACAATTTTTTTATTTTTTATTTTTTTTTATATATATATATATATATTTTATTATTATTTGTTTTTATTTGTTTTTAATTTTTTTTTTTTTTATTGTTATTATGGTTGAATACTGTTTTGGTTGTATAGCTTGTCTTATTTATTTTTAAATATTCCTCTATTAATCTTTATTTTTGTCTTGACAACTGTCAAAATATGCTTTGTCTAATAAATAATTCTCCTTTATTCTAATGTACTTCATTTCTTCCCTCAGGCGTTCACTGCTCGTGTGTGACCATTCGGCGAATCTTATATGCCAAAGTTTTTAAATAAAATTGTAGAAAAAATAATTGTTCCCACTGCAGATCGGGTGTTTAGGTGTTGGATTTTTAGGTATAACTTGAAAAATCTGAAAATTTGAACCCAAATAACCTTAATGTCTGGGTAACTTGGGACAGTAACATTTAAAAAAAAAAATCAAATTCTGAATGCTTAGTTCCTAATCAATACATTAAGTTATATGTATAAAATGTATAAATACAAAATTAGTTAGTGTATTGTTTTTAAAAATTTTTGTTTTTTCAAAAAATCTTGAAGAAAAGGTTTTAATGGTTCTTTTAGTGTTTAAATGAGAAACTTTTTTTTAGTACTTAAATGATCAATGGTTTGAAGTGGATGAAGAAGTATTCAATGAATTTAAAAATTACTCATTAAGTTGTTCTTTATCTTATGCAACTTTAATTTCATTTGAAGATACAAGGTAATTTATGCTAAGTGTGAAGGCATTTTCTTGTAATTTAGTTATAAGATGTAAAAGTAATAAATATATTTAATGCCATATAATTTCATATAATTTTATTGCTTTTTTTTCTTCAGAAATGCTCTAATCGACTTGTTTATATTTTGTGATAAAGATCAGGTTTGAAGTTTAAATATTTAAAGCACTTACTGTAAAAACCTTAACTTATCATGATTTAAATAAAATAAATTTTTTTAAATTCTTTAAATAAAATAAAAATTATACTTCAGTGGTGAATACAGAATCATCCATCGAAAAAAAAAACAACTTTTTATTAATAAAATTTAAACTAAAATGGTTAATTGTGACAGAGAATACTAATGCAAAGATCTCTGTTAATGAAAGAATGATTTCTTTTGATCCAGCATTAAATATTATTACAAAATTTTTTACTTGTGATAAAGGCAGCTTACCTAGGAGAAAAAACTTTGATATACAACATCATTTTTGAGGTTATTGTAGGAAGATCTCCATAATCCGGTGTTGTTATCAAGATAAAACTATCAAAAGTCAGTTTCCTGATCTCTAAAACGTTTAAAATTAAATTTAAATATACATATTAAATTTTTTCTATATATATATATATATATATATATATATATATATATATATATATATATATATATATATATATATATATATATATATATATATATATATAGAAAATATTAAATTTTTTCTATATATATATATATATATATATATATATATAATATATATATATATATATATATATATATATATATATATATACATAAATCGTTGATATATATATATATATATATATATATATATATATATATAAATATATATATATATATATTTATATATATATATATCAACAAAGAAAAAAAACTTTTTTAGTGGTACTTTATGTTTATATATATATATATATATATATATATATATATATATATATATATATATATATATATATATATATATATATATATATATATACATAAATCGTTGATATATATATATACATATAAATATATATATATATATATCAACGAAGAAAAAAACTTTTTCAGTGGTACTTTATGTTTCATACCTATACCGCAATCATCAGCCATATTGAATACCGTTAATTAAATATATATATATATATGTATATATATATATATATATATATATATATATATATATATATATATATATATATATATATATATATATATATATATGTATATATATATATATATATATGTATATATATATATATATATATATATATATATATATATATATATATATATATATATATATATATATATATATATATATATATATATATATATATATATATATATATATATATATATATATGTATGAGTATATGATATAACTAAAATAAATTGAAAAAGATGTCAAAAAAGTAAACAAACAAAAAGTTCCAATTTTAAAAAATACATATATATTATTAATTATTTTTTTTTGTTTTTTGTTAATTTACTCATCGGCTCATCATCGGCCACTTTTGTGTGGCATTTATGGAAACTGATGAGCTGTAGTAACTACAATGAATGAAAATTATCCAGTAGTTGTTTAAATTTATCAACTGATGTTGATAAATTTTAACATCTTTTAGGACATTTTTTATTTATTTAGTTTCAAGAAAAAAAATACTTAGTTAAAAAAGAAAAATTCAGAAGTGTAATACTAATACAAGTTGTTTATGTTCTAAAATGAAAAAAAGTGAGTTAACCAGTTGTTATTCAATCAATAAGAATTGGTTATATAGCATTTAGATTTTCAAAAGATTCTGCATCTTATTAGAGTATATCAATCCTAAATTGACAGTTTTGCTAAATTAATTGGGGTCAAGACAGATTATATAAAATTAATTGAAAAGACGGATTATATAATTACATAATATAAAAGCTTTTAAATTTTTCCATTTATATTTTCAACAATTTCTACGATAAAAGGTGCTTTAACTAAACTGCAAGTCATCCTTATTTTATACACTATTACGCTTTATTTGTTTTACAATGGTAATTCTGTATATACTCTGTATTTCTGTATATGGTTTGAATTTTATTGTAACTACTTTTTAAACAAAGAACTGAACAACGAACTACCGAAGTACCAAGTACCGTGACAACACTATGCAGTACATAATATATGTTTATATTAAATATAACTAAATTTGTAATATTTGTTCATGCGTTTTTATATTATCAAATATTAAATAATATGAGGTGTTAAATTAATCATGTTTAATATTTATCCATGTATCTTTATATTAAATAATTATTTTTATATACTATATAATTTAAAATTTAGAAATATTTAATTCTGATTGTGATTGGCTTATTGGAAATTGAAAAATAGTCATAAATCTTATAAAAATGAACTTAATAAAAATAAATAGTCATAAATCTTATAAAGCTAATATTCATTTTTTCATTGTAGTTTTTGAATTACTTGACATAAGAAAAAAATCAAATTTTGTTTTTTTTTTGGTAATCTTGGCAATGATGGTTCAGTTTTCATTGTTTTCATTGTTTTCATTGTTTTCATTGTTTTCATTGTTTCAGTTTTCATCATTATTGTTAAATGATGGTTCAGTTTTCATTGTTTTCATTGTTTTCATTGTTTTCAGTTTTCATCATTATTGTTAAATGATGGTTCAGTTTTCATTGTTTTCATTGTTTCAGTTTTCATCATTATTGTTTCATCATTCATCACTACCGCTGTCATTGTTTTCAGTTTTTATTGTTAAATGAATAAATTTTGCATTTGATTAAATATTAGGTAAGATATCTAAACCGCACAAGAGTTCTCAATTTACTTGCAAATTTTTATGATCAATCTGATGCAACTATGAAGCAGTTTTTACAAAATCCAAGATTATGTATGTCTTTTTCTTTTGCTTGAATTTGTTATTAAAATAAATGATACAAAAATATATAAATATTTTTTATACATTAAAGGGCCTATTATTGAATTTGAGGAGGAGGATAGTAATGAAATAAATGATTACCTTTTTAAAGACATAAGTAAAGCAGGTGATTTTGTTATTTGATTATTAAAAAAAAACTGTGTTTGTTGAGAAGTGACAACATTGCAATTCATATGAAAAAATTTTGTTTGTAATTCTTGTATGTATATAAGATAAATCATAATTTAATGATTAATATGAAAAAAAAGTTGGACAAAATATAATATAAATATATATAGTGTATATATATATATATATATATATATATATATATATATATATATATATATATATATATATATATATATATATATGTATATATATATATATATATATATATATATATATATATATATATTTATTATTTTAGGAAAAAAATTTGGGCTTGGGTACCCCTTCACCCTTTCTCTTTCACAACAAATATATATACATATATATATATATATATATATATATATATATATATATATATATATATATATATATATATATATATATATATATATATACAGGGCCTATTTTAGGAAAAAAATTTGGGCTTGGGTACCCCTTCACCCTTTTTTATTGGAAAAAAGTACTTATAGTATAATTTAATCAAATAAAAAAGTAACAAAAAAGGTAACAAAAATAAAAATATAACAATTAACATCAAAGATATAATAACATAATATGTCAACAAATTAATTTTACACCTAAATACCTTAAGGCTCATCGCACAACCTCACTTGGAACTCTGTCAAAAGCTTTTTCAAAGTCCATAAATACTTTCCACAGATTGTTTTTTATTTCCAAAACTTTTTTGAACTTGTCTTACAGTGTCAGATCTTTAAAATGCAATTGTGCATGGGGCTTCATTTTCCTAGCCTAAATTCTGCTACATGGTATTGATAAATACACTAATTCCTATATTTTTTGGCTATTCTTTCTGAAGTCATCAGCTCAAGCTACTTTATTTCTTGTTATCAACAACATTTTAGTGAGTCTAAATCTTTTTTATAAATCTCTAGTCTACAAAAGCAATTTATACAATTTATCTTCAAATTTATCTTCAGAAGCAGTCTTGTCTGCACCCTCTGAATACCTGATTTTACTTCTTTATCATCCAACTTTTCTTTCAATTTTCAATGAAAATATTTAAAATGATTAACTTTCTTTATCTTATTTGCGTTAGTCTTATTTGCGCAGCAGCCTTGTAGTGGCCTTCATTAAATTAACAATAACATATTGAATAATCTAAACTTGAATGAAATTTAAATATTTGTTTAGGTGCAATAATTGACACAAAATTTGCCAAGCAACATGTTGGAGTTTTTAATAAGTTTCAGTTAAGCAAAGATCAATTTGTAAATATGTTGCTGTTATTTTTAGCAGATTCTTCTAGGTATTAAAAATTTGTATTTAAAAAAAAATCTTTAAATTAAAAGTACCATCTACAGGGGTGCGCAGGTTATCGCAGAAAAATAAAAATATTTATATCTCAAAAATGGCTTTTATTTTCAAAGTAAAACTTTTCACAATACCAAATCACATATATTTTTACTCAAAAACAGTAATGAATTTCAAAGTAGCCTCCTTTGGCAATAATGACACTCTTCAAACGCTCTGGAACTGACTCACAGCATCGTCGCACCATGTCCGGGCTAAGATTCTTTCAGATCTTCTTCAATTCGTTTCGGAGGGCTGCCAAATTTGGATATGTTTTGGCTGCCTTCTTGGTCTCCATGACACTCCATATAGCAAAATCCATAGGATTAATGTCTGGGCTTGAAGGGGGCCACATATCTGGGTCCCAAAGGTGCGGAACATTTTCTTTCAAGAAGCTGACAGTTTTCTTTGCACTGTGTGCTGGTGCACTATCCTGCATAAAGGCCCATGGATCGTCCTCAAACTTCTTTTTGGCCCAAGGAATGAGGTTAGCTTTGATGAAGTCGACATAGGTCACCTGGTTGACTTTTACACCTTCAGGAACAAAAACAAGGGGAGTTTTTGACCCATCAGAGCACACACCTGCCCAAACCATGACGCCCACAGGGTGCTGTCTCTTTGGAATAGTCCTCAGTTCCAAAGGAACTGTTCTTCTGGACTTACCAAGAACTCTGTCATTGTATCTGTTGGGTTCTGGTTCAACTGTGAACATTTTTTCATCACTGTAAACGATAGGGACATCTTTGTGGTCTTTGAACCAATTTAGTAATTCTTTTGATCTTTTGCGTCTTTTGGCTCTAGTTGCCTCAATCAGAAGTTGTCTTTTTGACTTGACAAGGCTCTTCATACCCAGATCATAGTGGACAACACGTTGCATAGTCCTTCGAGACACACCTGCTTCTCTAGCTAAGGATGAAATTGACCTGTTTGGGTTTCGTCGTACTTTGCAGTCGATCGAATTTCGAAGTTCTTTAGTTCTCACATAACGATTTGGGCCTGTTTTTTTTCTTTTGTAATTTTTTCCAGTTTCTAAGTCTTTTAAGAGTCTGTAGACGTTGGAATTATGAAGCTGTCCCTTCACGGCTTTGCAAATTTCAACTTTTTTCACACCACGTTTCCATAGATCAAAAACAAGTTTTCTTGCATTTCCATTTTGCGTGCTGTCAAATCGTGCCATTTTTTACAACTAAATTAGTGAAAAACTGCATTTTTTAAGGATTAACTTGTTGAATTGTGTTGCATTTTCCCGCCAAAAATGTTTTTCACTGTATATCATCTTTTTTGCCGCGAAATTTTTGTTTTCATTTTTTTCTGCGATAACCTGCGCACACCTGTAAATTATTTATATACAGCATAAAATATTTTTAAAATTTGTATATAAGTAACTTTAAGTTTTTATTTAATATAATTAATTATGACATTAGTATTTATAAGTGTTCTAGTAATTATAAGTGTTTAAATAATTTGTATTTTTTATTATATGTTTAGTATAAAGTACATTTTAAGAAAATAAAATTACGCACTTTTTAAAACAAACAAACATTTGAATAGTAATTAAAAAATCAACCATTTTAAATTATTGTTTTAATTACTATTCTAAGAAATACATTATTTTATATTACTATGATCATAATAGTATTTATTTAATATTTTATATTACTGTTAACAGGAGCTTATTACTTGTTTTATATTATTGTTAACAAGAGCTTATTACTTGTTTTACATTACTGTTAACAAGAGCTTATTACTTGTTTTATATCATTGTTAACAGGAGCTTATTACTTGTTTTAGATTTATGATTGAATCACTTATTAAATTCATTCAAGTGAAATACATTCAAACAACTGAAGAAGAAGCCACACAAGATATACTATACACTCAACCAGCAGATATTGAATCTACACAAGTAAAAATTTAATATTTAAAAAGTTATTTTCTTATATAATTTTTTAATATATTTTTTAATTTTTTTTTTTTTTGCTGTTGTTATTTAAGTTTATAAATTATAGTTTATATTTAGTGAAGTTGATGGTTATATAAATTTATTGGTTACAAAAATGAGTAATTTTTAAAATGTTTTCTACTAAATTTTTACTTATATTATTTGAAAAAAAAAATTAATAATATTTAATTTATTTAAAAAAAACTTAATATTTAAACTAATTAATGTTTAATCAGAATGGAGTGAAACTGTACAAGACCAATAAAAAAGGTTCAAATAAAGTTGATTGAATTGACTAGAAAATAAGTTTGAAAGTTTAAAATAGGGGCAATTATGAGTGTAAACAATTTTGGATATTTTGACAGCTTGGTCACTTGTGTTGGCTCCGAGCCATACAATCTGTTTGTTTTTTTTTGGCAGAAAGAGCAGATTTAACAATACTTTGTCAAGAAGAGCATCTTTAAAAAACCAGCCCAAATATAACAAGCTACATAAGCTAGCTGAGAACAATCTGTTTTTTTTTTTTTGACAGAAAGAGCAGATTTAACAATACTTTGTCAAGAAGAGCATCTTTAAAAGAACCAGCCCAAATATAACAAGCTACATACTCTAGCTGAGAACCTGCGCATAAAAGCGTCTTGCAGTGTAATGTCTGTAACAGCCTAGACTGTTATAGACATTACACTGAGAAGAGAGATTAGATTCACAGTCGGTTGCCTGTTCTAAATGATCAAAAAGTAATCACTTTTTTTCAAAGTAGGAGTATATAGTTGTATTCATAAATTTTTAATTTTTTTTACTTTAATTGTAAGATTGTTACTAAGATCATTAATTTATATTGAAAAAAAATTCAGAACCAAGGATTTCTATCTTTGGTCCTGTAACCTTTCTATCATTGGTTCTGAATCCTCGATGTATCCAATAAGTTGCTGGAATTGAAGAAGAGTGTTGGTTTTCTAGGATGGCTTCAATACTATGGTTAGATGAAACAATATATATATATATATATATATATATATATATATATATATATATATATATATATATATATATATATATATATATATATATATATATATATAAAAATTTTGATAAAAATCTTTATATATAAATGTAGTCTTACTACATTTTCAAAAGATTTAATTTACAATTAAAACTCTGGTAAATAAATTTAAAAATTGAAGACAATACAGAGAAAAAATTATATGATGAAAAAAATGATTAAACTTGCTCAAAATATTTTTCTAAAACTCATTTCAAAAAATTACTTCAAATTTCAACGTCAGGTTCTCATTTCTTATTTAACAGAAAATTTTATGATCAATTAGATGGCGTTGCAATGGGTTCTCCTTTAGCACCAATTTTAGCCAATATGTTTATCGGTTTTCATGAACAAACGTGGGTTAATAATTGCTCATCCTTCATACCGATTTTTTATAAACGTTATGTGGATGACATAATAGCAATTTTTAATTCAGAGTTTGAAGTGTAAGAATTCTTTAAACATCTCAAAAAACAACACAAAAATTTAAGATTTACTATGGAAAAGGAAAAAAACAACCAAATTCCATTTTTGGATATTCTTATTAATAAGTCTAATTCACTCTCTACATCAGTTTATCACAAAAAAACATACACAGGTCTTTTACAAAATTTCTTTAGTTTTGTTCCTTAATGTTACAAAACTGGTCTTATATGTTGCTTGATATATCGAACATATAAAATTAACAACACGTGGTTTGGATTTGATAAGGATATAAAAAATCTTTCTTTAGTTTTAAAAAATAATCAATTTCCGCAAAAAGTTATAGACACTGAAATTAAATTATATGTTGAAAAGAAAATTAATCCAACTGTTATAAATACTGTTGATAATATAACATATTTTAAGCTATTGGATTTTACTCAAGTTTTACTAAAACTAAAATTGATAAAATTATTAAAAAGTATTGTAAAAATGTAATAATCAAATTTATATTCACAACCGATAAATTAAAAAATAGTTTTTGCATTAAAGATCCACTTCCTAAGATGCTTAAATCTAACGTTGTCTACAAATTTTCTTGTGCTGGCTGTAACGCCAGTTATATTGGAGAAACCTACAGACATTTGACAACAAGGATGAGCACCTTACGAGTGACAAGCAATCGCATATTTTTAAACATTTAAATTCATCCATTAATTGTAAAACACTAACTAATTATGATTGCTTTCAGATTTTGGATACTGCCTCTACCATTAACAAATTAAAAATACAAGAAGCACTTCATATTAAATGGGAAAATCCTTCTTTAAATAAACAAACATCTCATTATATTATAAATTTATCTATCTAACTTACTATATTAATGTTATTATTAATATTTTAATATTAGGAAGTTAATTTTGTCATAATTTGTAATATAATTTTTAATTGGTTTGTAACAAGTTTATTTGTCCGTTAATTTTTTCTCTGTATTGTCTTCAGTTTTTAAATTTATTTACAGGAGTTTTAATATTAAATTAAATCTTTTGAAAATGTAGTAAGACTACTAAACATGTCAAGAATAAAAAATATTGTGATTTTTATTAAAATTTTTACAAATTTATTGCTAATGCGATGTTCGAAATATATATATATATATATATATATATATATATATATATATATATATATATATATATATATATATATATATATATATATATATATATATATATATATATATATATATATATATATATATATATACATATATACACTTATGTATACTGAAACAATACAGGACTATAGATTGAACCTTGTGTTACCCCAGATGTTACTGATAATAAAGAAATTGGCCTTCAAGGATAATTTTGATACTGGTCAAGTAATAAAATTGATACTTGAAATGCAACAAAAGCAGTAAGATGAGTTTAAGAGATAAAGTTTATATGCCGGACAGATTTGGATGGAAGTGGATTATCATATTTAAAGATAATCAACCAAGTGATTTAACAATGGAAGCCAGAGTGATTTGGATTTTTAACAATGGGTTAATTTGTCTCTGGAATAGCAGAAAGAGTGGGATTATTCGATTTTAGTGTCGAATTTGATAAAAAGAAAATATTTCTGCCTTGTCCTTAAGATAAGTAATGAGATCAGAACCATGTATTAAAGATAGAATGTTAGACTTAAGATAAGTAATGAGATCAAAAGTATTAAAGATATTAGACTTACCTTTGTTAATGATACTATTGAAGACTTTTTTGTTCTAGAACTTTTTCCAAAGTTCTCTAGAACCTAACCTCGTGAGATAAAAATAGAAGATTAAGTTTGAGATTAACATTTTTCAAGATTAACTGAGAATAATGAAACTTAGTGGAGTTGCAATTTTAAACAGAGAAGCAGAAGACATTAGATAAAGGATAATCACAAAATAAATTTGTAAGAAAAGTCAGGTAAGTAATTAGGGTTGTTTGGAAAACAAGTCACAAAGTTAGATATCTGTGTAAGAGATTAGGAAATATAAAAGTTATGAGCTTTTTTGCTAGCAGGTTCAGTGATGCTAGAGCTGTATATAAATAATATATTAATAAGTAACCCAGGTCTATTAATACCTGAAATCATCTAAATGAGAACATTAAATAAAGACCTAGGTCTTAATTTAACTTTAAATTAAGACCCTTATTTAACTTGTATAAAACCCAAAAATTTTAAAAATAAGCTTTCTATTTTGATGACTATGTAGTAACTGACCTTCATTGCTACCACATACACTTGCAATGGAACTTACTTGAAGTTACTACCACATACATTGCAATTTAAGATCAAACAATTCATATGAACAATTTGACACTTGATAATAACAACTTTTAAATGGATATTAAGAATTTATAAAGAATCAAAGCTCATTTTTATTAGTATGTTAAAAAAATAATATACTTTATAGAAAAACCAGCAATTTTTTCAGTAGATTTTTTTATATATTTATTTTATTGACCTGTGGTGGTTTTAAATTTGAGTTTAACATATTGTTATAATTGTATTGGTATCAAAATTTCTGCGATTTCATTATTAATATAAAACTATTTTTAACTTTTGCTTTCTGTAACTGTTATATCATCATCATCATCATCGTCATCATCATCATCATCATCATCATCATCATCATCATCATCATCATCATCATCATCATCATCATCATTATCATCATCATCATCAAAATCCGCTGTTTTTGAAAAAAGAGAAAAAATATTTGGCACTTTTTCTACTGTGTATTTGTTCTATTTTGACTAGAAAATGTTTTGTTACAAAATTACTCCATTTTAAGTTAATGAAAAAGTTTACATGCTTTCGCAAAATACATTACAAATGTTTTATTTTGTGAAACATTATATTTTTTCTGAAATATTTTTGTGTATTCTTTAATTCTATGATGTTATTATGTCAATTCATCTTATGAGGGTTTTGTTATAGCAATTTCTAATAAACATATGGTATAGAAACACTGCAAAAATGTTGAATTTTTATACAAATTTTCAAAAAAGAAACAAATAACAAGAAATTATCTGCTTTACTGGCGAATCCAATTGATTAAACATTCTTTATATGAAATTAAATGTTGCTTCGATTAAAATTAAAAAAAAACAACAATTACTTCACACATGCCAAGTAACATAGGATTGAGTGAAATATCCTCTTTATCGTCACTGGTATAGATTCTTTACAAAAGTGTCATGTTTCTACACCGTGTTTCTACACCAAAACATTTTACATGAAATGTTTTCAGATTAATATTCGAAGTTTTTTGTGAATTTAGTGAATGAATATTTTTTCTTTTCTTGGTTTTAATATGTTCTTCGTAAATTAAATAAACAAACTTTATTGTTTCCTTGTAATTATTGCAATGCGCGTTGATTAAATTTGGGCATCATCATCATCTGTATAGAAATCATACTTGCAAATAATGTTTCTATACAAAAAAATCCTGTTTACTTGGTTTATCAGCATACTCATCGTATTGCAGTAATAGTTTTACTCTTTATGTTGATTTTTTTTCTATTACAAAATAAAAAGATATTTTTTATTAATTTATAAAATCTTTCGCCTATTTCACTGTAAATTGATTCAACAGAATTATAAATTATTTTACAATTCTCATCACTTGTATAGAATTCCTCACTTCTAACACATACGCATGCACACAGATTTTTCAAGAGTTTTAAAATCAACTGGTTTTGTTTATATACAAACAAATCTGTTATAGACAAAAAATATTCAATACAATATTGAAAACGAATAATTATTTTATATGTGATATAACAAAAAAAAACATAGGAGGTATAAAATCCAATCGTTTCACATAAATTTTCAATTAAATCTATGACTTAATTGAAAGTTTGTAATTATAGCTGAAGTGAAAGCGTTAAAGTCAGGTCAGATTATCCTGCTACTGGTAACATGTAGACCAGTACAACCTGCTTCATATCATTCTGCCGCGTAGGATAAGCTTTTTTAGGCAAAGACTAGGAGAAATCAACTCTGACTTAAAACACCCCCTGTCTTGGGGATCTTGGTTTAGTAAAGGGTAAAGATGGTGTTTTGATAAAAATACTCATCTTGGGCAGATGTTAATGCATCTGGCTACTGTCTTGTAGGAGGCCTCCTAGGCAAAGACTTAAGGGGTAAACAGATTCTATCTGTTGACCAGACTCGCATTCCTTCTTAATCTATCAGGCTGACACAGATATATTTATAATATATTGTTTCCAGTTTAGGATGTTAAATACTGGATCTTCTTGACTCAATACATGGGTTTTGCTTGTGTTTCTGTTTCTGTTTTTAACAAAGCATCTCATTCTATTATCTCTTAATACAGCTCTAAAACTCAGTTTTATAGTTCTGAGGCCGGCTGGTAGTCAGGTTTCCTAAACTCAGTGGTAGCTCTAAGAGTGGCTGACTCCATCAACAACTTTTAAATTTCAGAGTATTAAGAAAACCATGTTACGCATGGATGGTGTCCCTGTTCGTACTTTTTGTGTGCATTGTCCAGGCCACATTTAGAGCCCTTTTTTACGGCTTATGGTTTATTAATAGTAATAAGGCAGTTACTTGGACAATTAAATAGTGAACTAAGTACTATCTATGGTTTAAGTCTAGCTCTTTAACAAATTTAAAAATGACTTTTTTTTAGTTTATATTTTGCTGTTAAAATAAATTACAGATGAGTTTTACACGGTAAATATCAGTAAATAGAATATTTTAAAATAAATTACAGATGAGTTTTACATGGTAAATATCAGTAAATAAAATATTTTAAAATAAATTATTTTATAATATATTTTAAAATTAATATTTTAAGAACTAATAAATTTTATTATTTAATATTTTAACTGTTAATATGTTAGTATATGTAATTTATAAATATATTTAAATAATTATTTCAAATACCATATCTAGCAATATTATAAAGTTTTTTTGAAAGATGTTTTATTTGAGTTAAGAAAATTTCTTTATTCATCTTTGAATAGCAATATCTAATTCTTGCTTCAAGCTCTTCCAAATTGTCAGCTCTCTAATTATTCTCGTACACGTTTTAAATCACCCCAAAAGTTTTCAATTAGTCTTCCTTAAAAATATTTTTAACTTAATTAAATTAAATTTAAATAGATTATAAAATCCTCTTTCTAATAAGTATAAAAGATTTTTGCGTGCATGAAATAAATTACATAAAAAATGCAACTAAAATTTGTCCGAAATTTTATTTATAGAGTGTTAAATTAGAGGTTTAAACATTTTTGAAAATACAGAAAGTACTGATATAGGCCTGTAGTTGGAAACGTTAGAATGATCATCATTTTTATAAATTGGACATACTTTTGCTAATTTTAGTACACCAGGAAATACCACTTGATCAAAACAAAGTTTTACCATACAAAATAAGGGATTACTAATACTTTTTTTATTTGCAATAAGTATATTACTAGGTATATCATCAAATCCCGGTGATTTATTCTTTTTTAAAGACGAAAAAACCGTTTCAAATTTTTTTAACGTTAAGTCAAAAGCATGCAATAATGCGGCATCTGACGCTTTTAGATTTTAAAACAATTATAAGTTGGTGACAAAGTTGGTGTAATTTTGTTAGAAAGTTGAAGTCCGGCATTTGTAAAATATTTATTAACCATCTCAGATATTTGTTTAGGGCATAATACATCAGTATTTTTGGTATTGATTCTTGTTGGTAATGGTAATATTGATTCTTTTAGGTATGACTAAAGTTCCAAAAACTATAAAACACAAAAATCCGTTGTCACCACCAAGTTCTCTAAACCTATCATTCAATAATATTCGTGGTCATTGAAGAAAGTTTTCTTCTGTTGAGTCTTATCTCTTGCAATGTTAACCAGATCAAATTGTTCTTTGTGGACTAATTTGAGTTTAGCTGTCTCATCGTGTGATCTTAGTGTTGATGGTTATCTTTAATTTGTAATTCCAATAGTCACATGCTTGGCCTGGGCATTTACATTTGCAAGAATTCACCCATATGTCGGAAAACTAGGTTTAAACCCATCCACTATTCTTTTATGCGCTTTTGTTAAGCACCACTTTACTCTGTCTCCTTACTCTTTGTTCTATATCGCTCTCTTTCATCTCAAGACTGCACTTTTTTTGATGTTATTTCTGATCAAATTGACCAAGCCCTCCCTCTTTTGTCATCAGTCAATATCGTTGTTGTTAGTGACTTATAATGCTAATCACACTGAATGATTTGGCTCTAGTGTTAGTGATTCTGCAGGTGTTAAGGCCTACAACTTTTGCTTGTCTCAATCTCTAACACAATTATTTTTGCGTTAGAAATTGAGACAAAAATAACTTTCCAACATTTTTTCTTGACAACCCGAGTCCTTTGCCTTTTCTACTCGACTTATGTCTTGTTTTTGATCCTAATCTTTATATATTATGTACATATACAAGATATATGTATTAAATATATTCAAATTATTTATTGGTAATAAGTACAAATCTTATTGGTTTTAATACAACTCTGTTGTTTTATGCAATGGAATGTTGTAAAATAGAAATAAAAACTTAATTAAAGACTTTATTTAAAAAAACAAATTTTCACCATGCATATCACTCTTCTTAATTTCTGATGTCTAATATTACTCTGCAAAAAATATTTTAATGGCTGAACTAAATCAATATAAATAGCGAATGACAATTTAATAAAAAATCTCTTTATAGAAACTCTACCTTGCGATGTAGCTTTTCTATACATAATGTGTCAGATTTCTATACATTTAAGTAGTATTTTTATACCGCGTCGAGTTTCTATACAAATTTGTTGTGTTTCTATACAGTTTTTATAGAAACTCTACACATTCCTCTTGTCATCATCATCATCATCATCATCATCATCATCATCATCATCATCATCATCATCATCATCATCATCATCATCATTGTAATCATCATCATCATCTTAATCATCATTATAATTATTTCAAGATTAATAACTTTTATTTAATTTTTAAAATGTTTTTAAGTTTTTTTATAATAATAATAATTTATTATAAATTTTATTAAGTATTATTTTTTGTTAAAACAATTTTTTTTTAGAATGTTAAAAACATTGAAAAGCGTTACATGCTGCTAAACTATTTGTTTGATCTATGGGATAGAGATTCTTCAGGATTTTTGGAAATTAACGAAATTGAAAGTGTGTTAAACAATTGGCGCAAAGATGAAATTCATGAATATCTGTATTCACAAAGTAGGTTTTTTTTTTTAATATTAAATTATTCATAAGCTAGAATAAACGTATGAAAAAAAAGTATGAAAAATTTAAACAATTAGTTACTAACTAGAAAAATTTAAACAATTAGTTACCAACTAGAGCTAATCTGTTATTTTCTTTTTCTTTGAAAGTTTTTTGTTCAAGTGCAAGAGTGTTAAGTAAAAATTTTCAAGAATATGCTGCAACTAAATAATACAAATTTGAAAAACAATTTTTACTCTAGACATAGTACACATGAAATTTAATATAAAATGTGGAAAATATAATAAAAAAGGTTATTTGTGTGAATCTAAAAAGATTTACTCTTATGCATTGTGCATAGAAAATTTACTCTTATGCATTATGCATAGAAAATTTTTTTTTATATTAATGCACTTGAAAAATTTCAACATTATGCCACTAAATAAATATCTCAGGTTCGTAAACAAAGTTATGAAAAAAGAATACTTGGCCTAAGCACACTGAAAAAAAGATGTAAAAGAGGCGACTTGATTCAAATGTACAAATTATTCAAAAAAAAAAAATAATATAGAACTAAATAATAATATTTTAGCATCATATCAGCCCTACATAAGGGACCATAATTTCAAAATCAGAAAAGAAATAGTTAAATACTGCTATCTTTGTCATCAATTCTTAACCAATAGAGTCTCATCAATATGAAACAAATTATCTAGTTTTATCACTCTCAAAACTGCTCTAACTTTTTTTAAAAATATTGTTTATAAGTTGTATACCATTGTACAACCTATTATTTTAACCATTTATCTAATATTTCATTGTACAACCTATTATTTTAACCATTTATTTTTCTGTTGTTGTGTTTTAATACTAATTTAATTATATTTTATTAAATTTGTTATCTTAAGTTTTCTTAAACTGAAATGTTTTCTTTAGTATTGTCTTCATCACTATTATTTTCTTTAGTATTGTCTTCATCAATATTATTTTCATTAGTATTCTCTTCATCACTATTATTTTCATAAATAATCTCTTCATCACTGTTATTTTCATTAATATTCTCTTCATCACTGTTATTTTCATTAGTATTGTCTTCATCACTGTTATTTTCATTAGTATTGTCTTCATCACTGTTATTTTCATAAGTATTCTCTTCATCACTTTTATTTTCATAAGTATTCTCTTCATCACTTTTATTTTCATAAGTATTCTCTTCATCACTTTTATTTTCATTAGTATTGTCTTCATCACTGTTATTTTCATTAGTATTGTCTTCATCACTTTTATTTTCATTGGTATTGTCTTCATCATTGTTATTTTCATTAATATTTTCTTCATCACTGTTATTTTCATTAATAATCTCTTCATCACTGTTATTTTCATTAATGATCTCTTCATCACTGTTATTTTCATTAGTATTCTCTTCATCACTATTATATGTTATTTCGTAAATCTGATTTTATCATTGAATAAAGCGAAAAGCTTGAACTTATTCAAAACTCGTGTTGATAAATATCTTGAGCTACATGATTTGCAATTTGTAATTTGATTTGATTTTCCTTGAAAAACTAAGCAATGTATATGCTGTAAAAGTGAAATTAATTACAATTGTGAAAAGTGAAATTAATTACAATTGTGAAAAGTGAAATTAATTACAATTGTGAAAAGTGAAATTAGTTACAATTGTGAAAAGTGAAATTAATTACAATTGTGAAAAGTGAAATTAATTACAATTAATTTCAGTTTGACAGTAGTTTTTGAACTACTACAGCTTTTTATTACATGATATTTTGTTTATGTTATTTATGTTTCATGATTATACTTAAAATGTTATTTATATAATTTCTAAGTTATTTGTTTTTGTTATTAGCTATTAAAACTTCAATTGTTATAATCTTATAATATAAAAAAGGCAGATAAAATTCTATAGTTCTCATGTGAAATGTTAAAATACTGCTATTAAAAATCTTAAATACTGTTTTTTAAAATTTGTTGTTAAAAATGTTGTTAAAAATGCAAAACTTTTCTGGCTTCCTCTGATAACTTTTTAAGTTTGTTGCTAAAGTAATAATATTACAAATTCAAAAATTATGCATGTCAATTAAATGTTTACTTGGTATAAAACATAATGAGATATCACATATTGACATCTTTCATTACTAAACTCATCTTACATGGACCATATTGATCACATAGCTATTTTAAAGTACACATCTCTTCTCTATTAAAAATATGTTGTTATACCTCCTTTCTTTCAAAATGTTAGTGATCATTATCAATTTTAATTAGACTCAAAGATTAGTATCTTCAGGAAAATATAAATATTTTAATAGTGGATTTTAGCATTTTAAAATGTCTGAAATAATCCTGACTTTATAAATTTATATAATGATAGCTTAAATACCAATTTCATTAATCTTAACCTAGTTGTTAATTTTGAAAATGAACTTACTCATTCTATGCTGTTACTAACAGTGTATTACTAACAGTGGATCAAGGGCTTTTAGAGAATACCTAAAGTTAAAGAAACAATTTAAGTATTCAAAACCCTAGTGGGCTCTCAAACTAACTCATAGCAAAAAATATTGTTCTATTTATTTTTAAAAGTGGAGTGAAACAGGTTTCTTAAAAGGCTCAACATCTATCTTTAATCAATATCTATTTGCTTAGAAGAATTTCTGCAAAACCGTCAAAGCAGCCCAAAACAATAACCTTTATCAACAATACATAAAAATTGAAAAACTAAAAAACTCTAACCCAAAAATTTTTTGGAATAATTTTAATTGTTTAAAATAGGATTTAAATCCAAAACTTTTTACTATAAAGAAAAAAAAAGGATAAAGAATCACCACCAAATACCGAGTTTGCTACCATTTTTGAAAGATGATTAAACACTGAAAAAATAAATTTAGCGTAGCGGAATTCAACTAATAGTTGAATTCCGCCTTGTAAAAGAAAAAAACAAATTACTAACTGCATGATAACCCTAGCCAACCATCAAATAATACCTCATGACAAATTTAATTATCTGGGCTTTACTTGGGACACAACTTAATACAATAAATATTGAGTGTCAAGTTTTCAAACAACAGTGCCAACTCAGATTCAATCAGGTAATCCATCCAAGTTCCATCATCCAGTATAAACCATTTGCACTTCCGACGCTAACTTACAGTCTAGAGCTCTGCCAAAATAAAGATTTAACACTGAAAAAACTTGGAAAGAAAATCTTCTATGTATAGTAAAAAATTAAATACACTCTCTACTTAAAGTTCAGGAAATGTCAATTTTGCAAAACAAAATAAATCTTTTTATCCCTCTTTTAAACAATAAAGTAGCTTTTGAAATCATTAATTCCCAACTTAATTAATATTCAGTTAAACACACACCTTTTTGGATGATATAAACAAATTATGCAACATTTGTCAATTGAATATAAAAAACTTAATGCTAGTTAAGAAGAAAGTTAAAATTAGAGATTCATAAAATTCCTGAAAAAACTTTTCAAATTTTGGTACAAGCAGTTCAATGTTGGAATACAAAGCAACAGCAAACAATTTTTTAAAATACTCTTGAAAAAAACATTCTTAAATGACCCTTTTTTATTTTATTTTTATCTCCTATTCTTTTAATTGCTTTAAAGAAGCAGCTTGTCAGAGTAGTTTGTCAGTCATTTTGTTTGGCAAAATGATTGATTTTTTGTTCTCTTCTAACTCAGTTTGTCAAAAAGATTTTAATTTTAAATAGTTAGGAATTTGTTTTGCTTTTGTGTTTTTGCTTACTATCATTACTCTAAAACATATGCTTCAAGAATTAGAGAAAAATTTAAGTCAAGACTTCACAATAAAAAATTACAGAATGAGGATAATGGATCTTTTGTTCTTCAACATGTTACTTTTGTTACGTGGTGCATAGATTATTTATTGTAAACAAACACATACAAAATCCGGGTAGCCCAGACAAACATATACCAGGAGTAAATTACAATTTATTCAACTTATGTTAAGCAATTAAATTACAATTTATTCAACTCATGTTAACCAAATAATCTTACTAGAATCTTACTTTTCTATAATTGTTTTGTTATTTATTACTTAACTTTGTGTTTTGAATTTATCTCTAACCAACAATCCTTCGAATATTTTCCTTTTCTTCCTCTACTGTATTTAACTCATTTTATTTTCATCAAACTAATTTATATTTGTATATTCTTTCTTGTCTTTATATATTCCTCAAGATAGTTTGATGCATCTTGATTTACCGGTTTGTCTAGCATTTGTGTTAAACACTTTATGGTTCATTTATCTAAACCCTTTGCTTGATTGATTTATTAAACACTTTACACGTGAGTAGGCATACTTGGTAAAATTTCTTTCAAAGAATTTTTTCTATTAGGGAAAAAAGTCTGTCCTTGAACTAAACACACAGAGTATAATATCACACCATAACGAAACATATCACAACAAAACATATCGCAATGAAACAGCATCATTGTAAAATAACTTAATAATTCAGAATCAAAATTTTCATAAAACAACATCAAAGTGAAATAACAAAACAGTGAATAACAAAATTAGCAAAAGGTGGTAAAATTTTAAATAAGCAGCAAAACCAAAAGTAATTGACCTCATCTTAACAAATGTTTCGAAATATTTCTGCCAATCAAATGCAATTATAATAGGTTTATCTGCCAATCAAATGCAATTATAATAGGTTTATCCAACTTTCGTAAACTTTTAATCTCTGTCTAGGAATATAATTTTCCTTAGCAAAAACGAAGGATAACATACAGATGCTTCCAAAAACTTTGATAACGAAAGTTTCCAAATAGAGCTAATAAAGGAAATAAATTTTTAAAATGTACATAATTTTATTTGATTTAAAAATACAGTAACAATCACTTTAAAAAGGATACGCCACAAAAAAAAGGTATGTACAAAAAAACCAAGCAGTATTTATGACCAAAGAATTGAACAAAGCTATAATGAATCAGTCTAGACTACTAAATTATTATC